GTTGGATGACTCGTTGATATCTGTAAGAGTTCCGGTGCTGTATTTATTGTCTGACCGTTGTCGGAATTTTAAACTTGAAGTCGATTCCTGTTTTTCTAATCTCTAGCTGACCATCGATTGTTGGCGTCGAGTCTTTATCTGTAACGCGTTGTCCGGCGTTGTGTTGTTGAGTTATCCTTAAGAATATTTATAAAACATTCTCCAGGAACTTCTCAACAAAATTTAGGGAACAGTTTATACTCGTATACCTTATTGGAGTGTTTTAAGAAGCAGTTTATACTCGTATACTTTTCGGAGTGTTTTCTGCGCCCAAATGAGCTGAACCGGCTTAAAATGAGCCAAAAAGGCAGTAAATCGGTTCAAAAAATCCTCTGACTCTTCCGAACATATGGGAGAGGAGTGAGTGAATGATGGGCTGAATCGTCGCTCGATTTGAAGTCGTTTCGATGCTCGGTTCGGCTTCAATCTGGATTTCGGTTCGAACTGGATCCGGTCCGGCCGGTTCGGTTTGGTTCAACCCGGTTCACCCTATAAAAAGTTTTTTTTTTCTTTTCCTCCACCTAGGACCGGCCCCCCTCTTGTCTCCTTTTTTGCTTTTCTCTTCCCTTGAGCGTCCGATCTCCTTAAAAACTTGATATTCGTCTTAGATCTAGTACTCCTTTTGATCCTTGACTGAAAAATCATTCGAAACTTCCATTTTTGGAATTTCTCTCAGGCCCCTCGAGCGTGTGGTTCGAGCACTTTCAAGATCTAATTTTTTATTGGATCTTGAAGCTTCCCCTCAGGTATAATCTTCATAATTTTAGCATTTTTTATGCTTAATTTAACTTATGAACTCGTGGGATCACGGGTGAGGGTTCGGATTATAATTTGGTGCCTCGAGCTTATCTTTTAGGGGATAAAAATGTGACCTTTTTTCTAGATCTGACCTTTTGATTTATTTTGTAGATCATTATGTCTCGTATTGCGAGAGGTCAATCCTCCACTGTGCCGGCTGATGACGCGCTTCCTTCATATGCTGGTGAGCTACTTTTTTGGCATATTTGCAAATTTACAAATTAGTCATCTTTTTTTCGGATATTTGCAAATTGGTCCCTTTTACCCCCCGTTGTTCTCCTTGGTAAGGCGACCGGGAAAGGCCTTGGTTCTCCTTGGTGAGGATCGACGCTTTATGGAAATTTTGCAAATTAACCCTCTTTTTTCTGAAAATTTGCAAATTGGTCCTTTTTTACCCCACGTTGTTCTCCTTGGTGAGGCAATCGGGAAGAGCCTTGATTCTCCTTGGTGAGGATCGACGCTTTAAAGATGGGTTTTGCTTGGTCAAAACCACATCTCATAATAAAGGGGGCGTTTTGACGCTGCACTGTGCTTTATAAGGCAGGGATATATTGTCGATATACCCTATCTTATAAATGCACAATGTGGCCAAATCGCGTGCTTTATAAGGCAGGGATATATTGTCGATATACCCTATCTTATAAATGCACAATGTGGCCAAATCGTTTCGCCCTTTATAAGGTAATGACTCTATCTTACCAATTTGTAAGATGAGTTCAATTTCCTTTCATATCTAAAACTAACAAACATTTAATTGCTTGTTTCCAGTGGAGTATCCTTCCGGAGCCTTTCCATCGCATGCGGTGAATGGACGTCGCGACGAATATTATTCGACGTCTGATAACTTTTCGCCCATTCCGCTTACCTCCCAGTTTGTTCCGGGCACGTCGATAGAGGTTGTCGAAGTAGTGAAGGAAGGTGGACATCGAGCCCTTCGCCAGCTGATCACAGATGCACCTCTCGTGAAGGATGCCAGCTTCGTTCAGTCTCTCAGGAAAACTGACTTCTTGTTTGGCGACTCTACCAGAGATCCCGATGCAGCACTTATTGAAGCTGAGCAGTGGCTTTACAAGACTGGCAGTCGTTTCATGTATTTGCCGAAGATTCCTCGACACCGTTCTTTGACTGAGCTCAGGCGCCAGGCTGTGAAACGGGAGATGTCGTGGCGTTTGACAGAGGAGCATGAGAGCGTCCACTGCGGCTATGTTACTCATCAGGCAGTTCCTGGTTCGAGCAGGGATCACATTGTTGGACTGCGTCCTGGAGTACTGGGGCTAGATACTCCGCCTCGTAACGAGTTCCTCGCCACTGCTTCTACTTTGAGGAATCGCCTCGCTAACTTAGGACGGGAGATGCCTGCACCGCGCCACAGATTCTATGGTTGGGTCCATTCTTTGGACAGGTTTTGGTGGGCTCGTATGACGAAGTACGTCTTGAGCCGATGGAGCGAGGAGTTACATGCTTGCGGCCTTTATGCAGCCATTCGGGCCACCATGCATGGCTTGCCTACAAGCGCGAAGCATTTCTTTGCCCTATGCGAGCTTTATAATCCAGATTCCAACACTTTTCTGACCAGGCACGGAGAGTTGGGCTTGGCTCTTCATGAGATGCACAAGATTTCTGGCTTGCCCATGGGACAGATGCTATACCAGGAGTACTTTCCCTCCAACCATGAGTTGAGTCAGCTGAAGGATCGCATGCCCGACCGCTACGAGACCTTATGGGACCTCACTTGTCATTATCACATTGCTTTGGCGCAGTCTAAGCCCCTAGCGAAGAGGACCAAAGCAAATGTGAGCCTGAAGCAGTTCGCATCATATTTGTTCAGGAATCTGGAGAGCCATTCTGGCCAATCTATTTGTGAACTGGCACCGCTGACTCCTTCAGAGGTTAATGAGCTGCTGAAGAAGACTAACGCCCAATCCTATACCATTAGCAGTCCTGAGAGTGGCTTTCCTGCAGGGACTAAATTCAGATCGTTCTTATATCATGCGACCGCACCGATTCGTCCGATGACTCTCCTTGCCGGTTATCTCGCCATCTGGTTGAAGAAATGTGTGGTCCCGTATCAGTCTGGTGACGCTCTGCCACTGGAAGTGCTCTATCCTGCAGTTCAGCTTGCCTACAAGAAGGAACTTTCGCTTCTTCCGGTGATGGTGGCTAACATTCATCGAGGGCTTCGACAGATTTCTGGTGCTTTTACACGGAGAGATGATGATAAACCGACTCAGATTCCTACCATTAAGGTGGAGCTTCCGTATATTTATTTGATGGCTTGGTTCGTCCTTCATCGTTCCGATGTGATGTCGGTACCGAATGCCATAGACCAGTCTGTTCCCTTTCTACAGCTGCTTGAGAATGGCGAGTGGGAGGGCCGAGGATTCCCCGATATCAGGCGTCAGCTACAAGTCCACAAGTGCTGGGCATTCTCCACTTGCTTCCCACAGTTCTCCAGCCGGTACGGCGAGTGTTTGATTGATGAGGAGAAGCCGAGGGAGTATAGGACTTATTTGGATATGGGCTGCTTTAATTGGCTAGTGAACATTAGGCCGGGTTACCTGACTTTCCGGGTGGGGAATCAGTGTTTTATAGAGCCGTATCTACCTTGCCGATTCGCCCGTCAGTTCGGTTATGACCAGCTTTATGTTGGGAACCCGCGCCAGCAGCTTCGGGCTCATGGAGGTCTGGTGGACGGTCTTCGTGCATGGTTGTGGACCGTGACTGGCTGCACTGGTGCTAGGTTCAGTCTCCCAGGTACTGAGCGGCAGTTGAACCTCACTTTCTTGAGCTGCAAGTGGTTGCTAGCAGCTAATAAGACTGTCCCTGTGAAGCCTATCGAAGAGTTGGTGGCCGAAGAAGCCTCTCAGATTGATTCTCATGTGATCCAGGACGGTGCTCGATCACAGAGGGCTCAGGGCAAGACCCGCCGACTTGATGCAGAAGGTCACAGGGCCTTTAGTTCTGCTGGAGAGGCCTCAGGCGGAGACCCTGAAGACTACGAGGCAGATTTGGAGCAAGGTTAGTCACCTATCTTTCTTTTTCCCTGCATTTCCAAATTGCTATTTCTGACCACTATTCGATGTTTCAGGGACAGCGATCAACAGTGACGACGAATTCCGTCCTTTTACCCGGGCCAGACCTTCGATTGCTGTCCGTGCTGATAGGCGGAAAAGATTAGCCCACAAGCCGCCTGCAAATTCACGAGCATCTGAGATGGACTTGGCTGATGAGGATCCTGTTAGTGACGGAGGTAACGTCTATTCTATAGATCATTTTCTTGATCGTTTAGAACTTCTGGCTCATGCTTTCCCATCCTATGCAGGATATCGTGAGGAAGGCGAGATGAGTCCTGATGATTGTGCATCTCCTGGTGAGCCTGACTCACCGCCCCAGGTAGAAAAGCCTGCAGAGACCGCCCATGTTGGGGAGTCTGTCAATGAAGGACCCAGTTCGGTGATTCCAGGTACATCTTCAAGAGGTAACTTGTCTCTATTGGCCATAGTTTCCTTCCTCTTCCCTTATATCTTTTTATGTCAGATTTTTCGATTGATGACTTCGATGGGGAGGGCCTGCCTATGGACACTTCTATGTTCAGCTTCATGTATGACTCTCCTCAGATCGATGGCCAGCCGCCTCAGGATATGTTTCCTGAGTCTGTACTCCCTCAGACTCCCGGGAACGGTTATTTTGAAGGTGCGTGCCTCTTCTCAAGCTAACTATAGGACTAGCCAATTCCTTGACTAATGCAACTATAAAATGATGTTTCTGTTTTGTGTCTAACAGGAGCTTTCGCTGAGGCTGACCCTGTTGAGCCGGCTGTGCGACCAACTCCACCAGTCGATGCTGCTACAGTCGTTACATCTCCATCACCCCCAGTGACTCGAGGGGAAGGAGGTATAATTTAATTAACTGAGCAATGCCATTCCTTTCCTCGTTGAAGCTTTTGACGAATTCCTCTTCTTTGTGTAGGGCTTCCTTCTCAGCTTCATGTCCTCGTTAAAGAGCTGTTATCGGGCAATGACCCTGAGAAGATCTTCATCAGCGTAGAAGTCCGCTCTTATTTCTCCTCCCTGAATGCTATAATTGGCAAGCTCCTCCACGACGGACTTTCTCTTCGCCAGTTTAAACCCTACCTTGATTCCAAGGTAAATTTAATAAGGGACATGGGATACCCGGACCTAGCGACGGCTATGGTTGATGACCTTGATCGCTTAGAGCATGAGTTTCAGATGCTTCATGAGCTCCGGGATGCAGGTGCCTCTTCATTCATTGCTGCCGAGTTGGATGCTCGTTTACAGACATGGCGTAGTACTCGGATGGTTGCTGAGCTCGAGGTCCAGGTGCAGCGGGGCCGAATAGATCGAGTTGAGGCTGACCTTGCCACTAGATCATCTTCACTTGATGAGCTTGATTCTCAGATAGATCAGCTCCGGCGAGAACTCCGTGAGAAGGAGGACGCGAAGATGCACGTTCAGCAAGCACATGCTGCTTTATCTGATGAGCTGAAGTCCTTGAAGCAGACACTGGCTGAGACAGAGGAGGATGCTGTGAGGACTTTAGCCGCGAACGAAGAGTCTGTCAGAGCTGAGTTACAGGAGGAGCTTAGGCGAGCTTATGATGAGAAGCTGTCTGAGTTTAGTCAGCAGGTTTTTAGCCATGGGCTTGATGTATGATCTTATTTGCTGTAAACTTTGACATTTGATCCTTTTAGTGGAACTGGTTTTTATCTTTGTCTTTATTATGATTCCTCATTCCGCTTGAAATGATTGACCATAATACTCATAGGATTTTTGGCAAACCCCCAGCCTTCAACGGGTTTGATTAGCCTTTACCGACTACCGTTTGAGTCGGGCTAGCATGCGGATTGTCTAAATCCGTTCCGCATGTAACGTTGTGCTAAGAAAGTGAATTCTCTTAGACTTTGTGCTATGATTTTGAATACATAGGCTTCGTCTTTCTCACGGGAATAGACTACCCGGCGACACGTGTTAGGTGTTGACTTTAGGATTTTTGGCTAACCCCCAGCCTTCAACGGGTTTGATTAGCCTTTACCGACTACCGTTTGAGTCGGGCTAGCATGCGGATTGTCTAAATCCGTTCCGCATGTAACGTTGTGCTAAGGGAATGAACTCCCTTAGACTTCGTGCTATGATGTCGAATACATAGACTTCGCCATTGTTACGGGAATAGGCTACCCGGCAACACGTGTTAGGTGTTGACTTTATCCCTACTTAGGTTTCGGGATAAAATACCCCAGACTGGTCTTCTGGTGTCTTTTTCTACGGCGAAAGACTAAACCGGCGACGCGTGTTAGGCGTCGGCATATCCTTTCTTAGGATTCAGGATGAAATTCCCCACACGTGTAAGGCATGGATTTTGGTGTTATTAATAACAACCTACCACAATGTTGAATATATGGGTGGGTGTTCTTTTTAACGGTTAAGAACTAACCGGCAGCGCAGGTTAAGCGCAGACTTATCCTTGCTTAGGTTTCAGGATAGAATACCCCAGAATCGAACTCTGGTGTCTTTTTGTGCGGAAAAAGACTAAACCGGCAGCGCGTGTTAGGCGCAGACTTATCCCTGCTTAGGATTCGGGATAAACTTCCTAGGATGAATCCTAAATTGATAAATTTCGGAAAAGATCGATGCGGGAAAGGCAGAATTTTATATTCTATTTCCCGGTCTTCTTTTAGGGTGAAGGCGAACCCAACAGACAAGGAAGGAAGAATTTTATATTCTATTCCCTGATTCTGGAAAGGAAGAATTTTATATTCTATTTCCAGCGAAGAAGAAACTAGAAGTGGGGTGTCCACTCCGAGAATCTGGAAAATTTAGATAAACTTGCCTTTTATAGGATGAGTTATCTAAACTGAAAATGGGTTCTTCGTTTATCGAAGTGGAATTTTCAACTCCGGTTATAACCATGAACAAGGTTTAACCAAAGAGAAAAAGGGAAGGAGTTCTTTCGTTTATCGAAAAGGGACTCCGAACTGAAAGTGGACCTCTTGCTCATGGAGAGAATCAAGAGGGCCAGAAAAACATTTTTGGTGGACTCACTGTCAATTGAAATTGATCAGTGAGGGATTTTGGTGGTGACAATGATTTTGGGTTATCCTCTAGAATATTAAGTGTAATATTCTTCAAGGAACTTCCCGGTAAACGAGTTATCCTGAATGTACTAGGGATAGTACTTTTTCAGGAACTTCCCATTTATTGGCATTAATTGCCTGGCGCCCTCTTGAGTAATCAGGCGATATGCGCCGTTTGAATAGACTGTGTCTATTACAAACGGTCCTTCCCATTTGGGTTCGAATTTACCTTTCTTCTTGGAGGTGAGAATTATTGGTCGGCGAGCAGCGAGGACCAGATCTCCTTCCTTGAAGCTTCTCTGTCGGACTCTTTTGTTAAAAGCCCTTGACATCCTGGCTTGGTAAAACTCGATGTGTTGTTGAGCCTCCAAACGCTTTTCATCCAGCCTCTCGAGCTCTTCGAGACGCTTCTGATGTTGTTCCTCCGTCGTCATCTCCGTTGCGAGGGCGATCCGAAGGGACGGAATCTGAATTTCCAGCGGTAGCACAGCTTCACATCCGTATACCAGCGAATACGGGGTAGCTCCCGTAGGCGTGCGTATGGTGGTGCGATAAGCCCAGAGTGCTTCACCGAGTTTATCGTCCCAGTCTCGTTTATTGGTCTTCACGAGCTTTGACAAGATCTTGATGATCGTCTTGTTAAACGCCTCCGCTAATCCATTCGCGGCGGGGTAGTAAGCTGTCGACGAAACATCTTCGATTTTGAACTTGTCGCAGAATCTGACGAAGGCATTGCTTATGAACTGTGGACCGTTGTCATGAATGATCCTTCTTGGCACGCCGTGTCGGTAAATGACATGATGCTTGATGAAATTGATGACGTTGTTCGTCTTCACTTCTCTAAGCGGAATCGCTTCAGCCCACTTTGAGAAATAATCTGTGATCGCGAGGATGAACCGATCACCTTTGACTGAAGGGGGAAAAATAGGACCGACTATGTCCATGCCCCAAGTCTCGAACGGCCAAGACGTGGTTGACGTGTGCAACTGCTCTGGCGGTTGATGCATATAATTCGCATGTATCTGGCAAGCGTGGCATTCTCGTGCGTATTCGATTGCGTCACGAACCATCGTTGGCCAGAAATATCCCATCCTCCTGATGCGATCATACAGTTTAGGACCGGGCTGATGCGCACCACATTCTCCTTCGTGTGCTTCCTTAAGAACTTCCTTTGCTTCTCTGTTCGAAAGGCATCGGAGTAAAAGACCGTCGTACCCTCTACGGTATAATGTATGGGTTTCAGTATTATAGAAGAATCTTGGAGCTCTTCGGCGGATTGATTCCTTTTCTTTTACATCCTCTGGCAAGATACCATATTGGACGTAGTCGATGATAGGAAAACGCCAATCTCGGGACTCAGACCCAATTTGAGTTGAATTCACCTCTTTGGCGTTCACGTTTCTATCCTCTTCTTCTTCAATCTCCGTACTGTATATGGGTACGCAGAGTTGATGCGTCCGTACTGTGACTAACAGCTCAGCTTCGGGAGGCTGTGCCAGTGATACTGCTAGTGCCGCCAGTGCGTCTGCATAAGCGTTCTGGAGACGAGGGATGTATTCAATAAAGAATTCTTCGAAAGATTCTGCCATTTTGATGGCTTCCTGGTGGTACGGGATCAGGTCTTGATTCCTGACTTCATACTCACCGCGAACTTGGTTGACTATCAATTGCGAATCTCCAAAAGCTTCGAGATATTCGACCCCCAGCTCTTTGGCGAAACTGAGTCCAATGAGAAGCGCGTTGTATTCGGCAACATTATTGGAGCACGGACTAGTCAACGAATAAGCCCGAGGCATCACGTGCTTTCCAGGGGAGATTAAGACGACTCCAACTCCAGAGGAAACTGTAGGACATCCCGGGGTTATTACTCTATTAACTGCCCTTGAGGCACCATCGAAGTATAATTGCCATACTTGTTGGTGTGATGTGGTGTTAACCTCGTGGGTTTCATCCGGCAAGTCATCATATACTTCTGCCGTATCTGTGGTCGGGTTTGCCGCCAAAAGGTCACAAATCGCCTGTCCTTTTATCGACTTCTGCTGCTTGAAGTGCAAATCGTATTGGGACAAGAGAAGGGCCCACTTCGCTAGACGCCAATTCATAGAGGCCGGTTGCGTCATAAACACCCGTACTGGATTAACGTTGGAGATAACGTAGATCGTCTGTCCCACTAGGTAATGCCGCATCTTTTGCATCGCAAATACCAATGCAAGGCATTCTTTCTCAATCATCGGATATCGAGACTCAGCGCCTACCAAGGTCCGACTGAGGTAATAAACTGCCTGTTCGTGACCGTTATCATCGTCTTGCGCTAGTAAGGCACTTATCGAGTGGTTCATCGCCTTGAGATAAATCAAGAACGGTTTACCAGATTTCGGTGCAACGAGAACAGGAGGGTTCGCCAGATATGTTTTGATATCTTCGAACGCTTTTTGGCAGGCATCATCCCAGATGAATGATACTCCTTTCTTGTTCAGCTTAGAGAACGGTTGGCACTTCCCAGAAAGATTTGAGATGAAACGCCGGATATAAGCTAAACGCCCTTGCAATCCTCTGAGTTCTCTCAGATTCCTCGGGGGCTGCAATTCATGTATCGCCTTCACCTTATCAGGATCGATATGTATACCCTTAGTGGTGACGACGAACCCAAGAAATTTTCCGCTGGACATTCCAAGAAATGATTTAGTGGGGTTCATCTTCAACTGATGACTCCTCATGAGATCGAACATTGTCTTCAAATCCTTGATGTGATCTTCCTTGTTGCGGCTTTTCACAACCAAATCATCAACGTAACATTCGACTGTTTTCCTGAGATGTTCTTGGAAAATCTTAGTCATCGCTCGCTGGTATGTGGCACCGGCATTCTTCAGGCCGAAAGGCATCACCGTATAGCAGAAAACGCCGAGGGGTGTTCTAAACGCCGTATGCTTCTCATCCTCTGGATGCATCTTGATCTGGTTATATCCCGAAAATCCATCCATGAAGGACATCCTCTCAAATCCACATGTATTGTCGATAATGACATCCGTGATCGGGAGAGGGAAATCGTCTTTCGGACATGCTTCATTCAGGTTCCTGAAGTCGATGCAAATCCTGATTTTGCCATTCTTCTTCATGACGGGAACGATGTTGGCTAACCAGTCTGGATGTTGTTCCTCTCGGA